AAGCGGCATTGCTGCCACCCTGCTGTCACTCGGCCTTCAAGCTGCCATTCAACCTGGCAAAGCGGGAAAATCCAACCTGCAACATCAGCCGTGGCTCCACAAAGGCCAAGCTGTTCCAAGAGTGCAAGCTCATCATCTGGGACGAGGCAACCAATGAGCCACAAAGGCGCCTTTGAAGCATTCGACAACACCCTACAAGACCTTCGGCACAACACAAACGTCATGGGAGGTGGGACTGTCCTGCTCTCAGGCGACTTTCGCCAAACCTTGCCAGTCTTCGCCAAAAGAACAAGAGCAGATGCTGTCAATGCCTGCATCAAGTCGTCGTACCTCTGGAGCGAGGTGAACCGCCACAGCCTGAAGACCAACATGAGGGTGCAGCTTAGCGGCGATGAAGAAGCTGGCCGCTTCTCTCAGCAACTGCTGGAGGTCGGCAATAGCAGACTCACCACCACAGCTGATGGCCAAGTCAAGCTGCCATTCAGCAAAGCAGCGGCGGACATCACCCAGCTGATGACCAAAGTCTTCCCAAACCTCCACCTCCGCTACCAAGACCAAGACTGGCTGAGCGAGCGAGCCATCCTTGCTCCCAAGAATTTGGCCATGGATGATATCAACGCCAAGCTGCTGAAGCAACTGCCTGGCGACCCAACGAGCTACAAGTCGATGGACACAGTTCCTGATCCTGACCAGGTCATGCACTATCCGACCGAGTTTCTGAACAGCCTGGCGCCTTCAGGTCTGCCATCACACAACTTGGTGCTCAAGGTCGGCGCGCCCATATTGCTAATGCGCAACCTGGATGATCCCAAGCTCCAAGCGCAACGGCACAAGGCTCACAGTGAAGCAGCTCATGCCCAGAGTCATCGAAGCCAAAATCATGACAGGCAAGGGCAAGGGCGAAAATGCCATTTCAGTTCAAGAGGCTGCAGTTTCCAGTCAAGCTAAGCTTTGCCATGTTCATCAACAAGGCCTAGGGCCAGTCCCTCAAGGTGGTTGGACTCAACCTCAGTGAGCCAGTGTTCTCCCATGGCCAGCTCTATGTGGGGTGCTCCAGGGTGGGCAACCCAGACAACCTCTACATCCTCTCTCAAGATGGCAAGACCAAGAATGTTGTGTACCAAGAAGCGCTGCAGAACTGACCAGAAGTGAAATTCTTGGCACAGATTTATAAAATCCGAATAAGATCAGTACTGACTAAATTCTAGCTCTTTAATCCTGGGCATCGCCGGGTAGCCCAGCTAGTATATAATATAACTGAAGCTCAGCCATGTGTGTGTGTGCATGTGCATGCTTGCGTGCGTGTGTGTGTGTATACTGAGGTTAATTATGGCATAATTTCTCCAGAGGCTATAGACTTGAGAGACCATGCAGTGACTTGTATGAAAGCGACTGTATAGTTTTAATGTTGCGTGCCCCGCTGCTTCCGTTCGTTGCAGTTACCTATGCGATGATTCTTCGATCACGGCAGTGACGAGCGAATTTGAGGTGGAGGGATTCCAGAAGCTGACACCTGCGCATTGTTGTTCCGTTAACTGCATCGCTGGCGTTAAGCCTGGATTGTGTCTGTCAGGTGGCGTTGACAAGGTATGCAGGCGCGTGACCCGTGTCCAGCATTTTCCTGCCGTAGAAATCAACACCGTAATAGTTTATATTAAGTGTGATTTCTATATGTTCGCGTCTGCCGGCCGCTCTATCGCTGTGTTCTGATGTGTTTGAGTGATTCTGTTTTCGTGTCGTGGTAATTGGTTTGCCTTTGTGTAGTTAGTGTAACCCTTGTTCGCACGCAGACGTTATAACTCCGCTTTGCTAATTTGAGGGTGCGGGTTTACTGGTTTAACCCCATTACTGGAGTCTGCGTCGGCTCGGACTAGTGTAACCCATACCCCTAATATTTAATTACCCATACCTCTAATAATACCCCTAATAATAAAGCCATTTCCTAATCATGATGTGGTGCAGTTGTCACTGTCCAATCAATAAGACATAGCGCTGTACATGCTGCAACAGTGGCGGCGAAATGTAGGTTACCTGGAAATGTTTGTGTTCTGAGATAAACGCAAGGAAGCCGGAGTCTTTCTTCGACTATAATAGCCATTGTTTGACAATTCTAGTGTTCAAATAATTTGTTTAAGGCGACTCGCTAGCATTAATCCTGCTAAGGTTTATTGAAAATTAATTATTTAATGGAGATTTGCTCGATGACTGTGAAGGTTTTAACATCCCGACAAATAACGATAACTTTCAGTCTGTTATAGTGTACGACTATCTTAACGGGAGCGTCAAGCAGAAATGGAGTGGACACGAGAAACCTGTAACAGCGGTATGTATACACCTGTCTGCATCCTTTTGAATTCTGACCGTTGCGAAAAATTAGCACCTTTGTCGGGTAATTTACCAGGGGCCGAGCGCATGCGTACGAAAACCCAGTTGCTTCTCAAAACTCTTCTATTCTGGTTTTAGCTCACCTTGACATCGTCAAGATGAGCTATTGCCATGGGGTGTCGTACGTCCGTCTGTCTGTCCGTCCGTCTGTCAACATTTGGCTACGGTCAACGATAACTCAGGAACCATTTGACCCACATGTTTCAAATTGCATATAGTTGTTACTCCTATGGGAGAGGTTTGAACGTCCTATTTTGGAGCACGCCAGTCGACCTACTTTAGAGCCACGTCCACTTTTGCAAAAATGGAAATGGCCATAAGTCAGTTCAAGTTCAACGGATTTTGCTCATTTCTGGTATGTGAATGAACAAGGACTGGCCCCAAAACATATCACACAGGTTTGGATTTTTTTTTAATTTAGCAAATTAGGTATATTTCGTCAATTCCCCTATGCATTTCAGTGTCTGCCTACGGTCAACGATAACTCAAGAACCGTTTGACCCACATGTTTCAAATTGCATACAGTTGTTACTCCTATGGGAGAGGTTTGAACGTCCTATTTTGGAGCACGCCAGTCGACCTACTTTCGAGCCACGTCCACTTTTTTGAAAAAATGGAAATGGCCATAAGTCAGTTCAGGTTCAACGGATTTTGCTCATTTCTGGTATGTGAATGAATAAGGACTGGCCCCAAAACATATCACACAGGTTTTGATTTTTTTTTTAAAATTATGCAAATTAGGTAGATTTTGGCAATTCCCCTATGCATTTCAGTGTCTGCCTATGGTCAACGCCATCAGATTGTATGCCAACAGATCTGAAACATTTATTTTCGCATCAAAAATTACTCATATATCATCATTATCCAGAGTAAAGTCCGACCTCCTTTATCCGGTCACGGCGGGACCGGCACCCATCCGGATATGGGATTTGGCCGGATATGAGAGTTATGCTCAAACACAGCATTTCTATGGCTATGCAGTTCAGTAGGGTTTATGCATGTGATAATGTATTTACTCGTTGCTATGATTATTTGTAACAAACTGTCGTGTTTTATGGTTTATATGAAATGGAAATAAAATGAAATAAAACGTAAATTTTACCGGAGGCATAGCGGAAACGAGCGGACAACACACATGCGCTCGCGCACACGCAAACACACGTACGGTTGGTACATCGCGCAAGTTTTGAGCGAGATTTTTAGGTGGAAATGAATGAAAAACAGAGAACATACACTGCGAGACCGCGGCCGGTTAATAGAGATTTCCGGATAACGGATGGCCGGATAAAGGAGGTCGGACTGTATATAATAGGAGATATGCTATATAATGGGAGTTCTTCTATATATACTCTTGCTTTTTATATCCCCCTCTTCTATCACACCCAAGGTAAGCTACAGTGCCATTGACACTTTCATTCCTTTACATTTTCCTGGCGTTACTTAGATTTCTCTGTTGCGTGTTGAACTTGGGTTGCTTATGAAGAGTCCGTCACTAACACCTTTGTACCCCGTGCACCGACATAAAGGTGTGCTATGCGGAGAGGCAGCACTTTGTCATGAGCGGCTCGCGTGACAAGACGATTCACCTGTGGAAATGTAACGAGCCGTCTCCCGTCACCACTTTCGAGGGACACGAGCTAGTCGTAACGAGCATCTCTCTCGATCCAAGTACGCCTCCTCGTCTCCTCGCTGCGATCGCTCTGCACGCGCAGAATCTTTTATTCGACACGTGATACGTAAATTAGATTGCGTTAGCAATAGCATACCAAATTTAGCGACGTGAATGTGTAATTAATATTATGAGCGAATTTAAAGGTCGTACGAATGTTGAGTCGAAGCCGCAACGCAGTTTCGTCTTTCGAACGATACGCATGTGATTATTCTAGATCAGTGGTGGGCAAACTTTTCAAAGCGAGGGCCGCATCAGTGGGCCATGAAAAGTCAAAGGGCCGCACCTTTTAAAATCGGGCGGTGCGCTCTAAGATAATATGTGCGTTTCGCCTCAAGGGCGCCATCTCTGGACCATAATTAGCTGAAATGGCGTTGCAGAGCGAACCAGAGACAATAGAACACTAATCTGTATGACACTGAAAAAGTCAGCCTCGGTTCAAGCACAAACATGTTGACTTTCACAAAAATTTATTGATTTAAAAAAAAAAAAATAAATATTTTGTAATTTGCTGCATGCTTCCTCGGGCCGCACAGAACCCCGTGGAGGGCCGCATGCGGCTCGCGGGCCGCAGTTTGCCCACCCCTGTAATCTAGATTAAAGTGTTGTGCTATTCAAAATTGGCAGTGCCATCAACTACAATTGTTAAGGTGTTATTCCACCAATCCTTTTATATCATGCATACATTAACTGAAAAAAGAAATTCCAAACTTCACTTAGCTGCCATGTAGTGAGCTGCGTACGACAACAAGGTTCGAAGTTAATTGATGGCATTATAATGCACGCAGAGAATGAAAGCAATGTACTAGCTTCTTTTTAATTAAATTCCTGAATATGACTTCAGCATGCTGTCAAACACAAAGGAATGCATGGGATCTTGTTCATTTATGCCGTGAGCTGCTTTCCTATTGTCCTGCTTTGGTTGGTGGCGTGCTTAAACCAGGATAGTTATTAACGTAGCTATTGTGGGGATCGGAGAGCCCTGGGCGTGATGTGCACTTACCAGCGTTTTAGAAGTTAATTTGAGAGCTCTCGCTAAGATTTTAATCTTGTTGCAGGTAATTCCTTTCTGTGCAGTGGCTCGCGTGACAACTCAGTACGGATATGGGACCTTGAGACCGGATCCTGCTTAGCCAATGCTAATATTTCTCGAAATCTAGTGAGTACACATATTTAGCTCACCTTGACATCGTCAAGATGAGCTATTGCCATGGGTCGTCGTCCGTCGTACGTCCGTCCATCTGTCCTTCCGTCAACATTTGGCTACGGTCAACGATTACTCAGGAACCGTTTGACCCACATGTTTGAAATTTGGTATAGTTGTTACTGCTATGGGAGAGGTTTGAACGTCCTATTTTGGAGCACGCCAGTCGATGTACTTTCGAGCCACGGCAATTTTTTGCCAAAAATGGAAATGGCCATTAGTCAGTTCAGGTTCAACGGATTTTGCTCATTTTTGGTATGTGAATGAACAAGGGCTGGCCCCAAAACGTATTACAAAGGTTTTGATATTTAAAAAAAAATTAAGCAAATTAGGTAGGTTTTGGCAATTATATAGCATATTACATAGACACACAGATAACAATCTGTGGTGTCACACTCGTTTGGTTCGTTTTACAAGATTTCATTGACAATATCTTTAATGCAAAATTGGTATTTCCTCTCCACCCTGCCAATAAAACGTCTATATTAGAGTAAAGTTTTACAACACATGTCGGAACGCAGCATAACCTATTTATTTCGAATGCCATCGCTAAGAAACATCAAAGCGGGTATAGCGCCATCTACCATCACAAATTGTGATTCATTTTAGTTTATAAATTATTATTGCGATATACAGATGGCAACCGTGTGCTACCGCCTAGAAATATTCATACGAAGTAAACACTTCCATGCAACCAATTAACCTTTGACAAAAGTTGTGTTATGGGCGGGGAAACACCATTGTCACGTGGTATTTAGCAGCTACGTGGAATAAGCGTATCTTCTTAATCTTACACGTTACACATCGGGAGCTCCGCTTTTAGGCAGTGCCTAAATCAGAATATTATAAAAACGTTACCGCCTTGCTAGCTCCAAGAAACCGTCTTGCTAGGGTTATTTTTTTGGGGGGGGTTGCGATTTTGTAGTACATATGTTACTAGAAAGTAGTTATTTTAAGCTAAGAACAATGAAGAAATGAATTAGAATTATAATTAATACCTTTAGTATAGTACCACTAAATACTGTTAAAACTGGTGGCTAAACTGCCCCCCCCCCCACTCGGTGCACTTATTCACTCATTTGTGCCCTTTTTGTGGTGAGCTACAGTGTCATTGACACTTTTATTTTAATTAAATTGAGAGCTTATGATAACATGTAAATTTCATGATGTCGGCGAGTTTTTCCTGCGTTAACGATTGGTAGGTTTAATTCTATCAAGAGCTCAAAGGACTACAGCATTCTGAACTCTTCATTCTATCCTGAGCAGCTATGTCCATCCGCGCATTTATCAGTTTATGTTGCCTAGAAACAATCGTGAGTTTTGAGGGCTTCGCAGACCTAATTTTGGGCTTCAGTCACATATCCTTTTTTGTCAACCAGGTGACCAGTGTCTGCTGGGCTCCAGACGACAGTGTAATTGCTCAAACAAGTGAGGACAAAGAACTAAGGTACGCAAATTCAAAGTAAAAACATGACGAAACTTTCTGGCAACCGCGCAGCATTCGAGGGTAATTCAGAAACGTAGCCTCTATGTCAGTGCTTCTTAAACTATTTCAGTGTCATTCACCCTCGAGTCTTTATCACAAATTTTCATTCACCCGCGACTAAATTTCCTTGTGTTTTTGGTAAGTTTCTTTCACCCGAAAATAATTTCATTCACCATTGGGCTTGGAGCCAAAGTTCACCAGTTTCACCAGTTTAAACTGCTCTATGTAATCCACCCACCCTCCTCCGCTTGTCCACAGGCTGTGGGATCCGAGGTCATTCAACGTTGTTCACGTGTTCCCAAAGAAGCAGAACATTCTCAGCTGCTGTGCGGTGAGCGAGGACGGACTTCACTGCCTGTCCGGCAGCAGCGGCTGCAACAGCACGGGGTCCGAGCTGACAGTGAGTCGAACCAGCGCCGGTTATTATTATTATTATTATTATTATTATTAAATCTTTATTGCATGTAATTCAAACATAAATACTTGTACTGAAGACAGTCTTTTTCATGGAGAAAAAATCTGATAAATGCAAATGCTGTTGAGCAGTTAAAATAATGAAATTTCTGAGTGATACAGTACAAAACAGCGATAAACAACATGGAGGAAAAATAGTAAACAGTAATGGCGACGGTGCTTAAACCGCCGCGTCCGCTTCGCGTTTGTGTGTGTTTGCTGGGAAAGGTCGGGCGGGGGTAGGTTCCAAACTGGGCGCGGCGAAATAAAGAAGAGAATAAGCTTTCTGCGGTGAGATTGCAAGACTGTGCGTTTTTAATGCGCATGGGTTCCGGCCTGTGCTAGTGACAAAGTTGACGAGATTGTCCACTTGTATTAGTGATGACTATTTCGGGTGGAAGTGACTGACCAGAAATTCACGAAATTAATAGTGCAAGATTTGCTTTCGAGCCGTCTTATACTACTCGCGTCTCCCGGTTGAGTAAATTGTGTGGTGGCGCGAGTACTAGGAGATATACCGAATAACAACCAACTTATTGACCGAAAATATCCGATCATACCACTAACCTAGACAAGATCAATCCGATTACTGAGATGAAATGAGGCGGCATGTTGGACACACCCTTCCCTCGCCGGCCACGCGTCACGCGTTCTCAGAGTAAACCAAACCCATCGGTATCTAGCTATACCGGTGTACCCCTCCCGCTACAGGGAGTGAAGGGGCTACACCGGTAGAGCTAGTCGGTAACAAGCTCTACTTATCTACCTTTAGCTAGTTACCTTTGAGCAGGAGTGAATGCATGGGCTACACCGGTACAGCTAGTCGGTAACAACGTCAAGCTCTACTTAGCTACCTTTACCTAGCTACCCTTGAGCAGGAGTGAAGGGGCTACACCAGTACAATAGTCAGTAACAAGCTCTACTTAGCTACCTTTACCTAGCTACCCTTGAGCAGGAGTGAAGGGGCTACACCGGTACAGCTAGTCGGTAACAAGCTCTACTTAGCTACCTTTACCTAGCTACCCTTGAGCAGGAGCGAAGAGGCTACACCGGTACAGCTAGTCGGTAACAACGTCAAGCTCTACTTAGCTACCTTTACCTAGCTACCCTTGAGCAGGAGTGAAGGGACTACACCGGTACAATAGTCGGTAACAATTAAGCTCTACTTAGCTACCTTTACCTAGCTACCCTTGAGCAGGAGTGAAGGGGCTACACCGGTACAGCTAGTCGGTAACAAGCTCTACTTAGCTACCTTTAGCTAGCTACCCTTGAGCAGGAGCGAGGGGGCTACACCGGTACAGCTAGTCCGTAACAAGCTTAGCTACCTTTAGCTAGCTACCCTTGAGCAGGAGTGAAGGGGCTACACCGGTACAGCTAGTAGGTATCATGCTGGCACTCCTCTCTATCGCGAGCGTGATAAGTGCTTTCGTTCTTGCAGCTGTGGGACCTGCGGCAGCGGAAGCCCCTGTGTGAGTTCAGAGGTCACGAGCAGGGCGTCAGCGGCTGCGTGTTCCTGCCCCTCAACCACGGCGGCCAGCAGATGGTGGCGTCCTGCGGTGCCGACTCGACCGTGCGCGTCTGGAACGTGGAGTCCAAAGGTATTCGCTTCACTAGTGCTACCGTCGCGCGGGTTGTGCGGTCGTGCGTGGCGGAACTGCGGCGACGTTAGAGCACAGCTGCCGATCGATACGTGATGGCAGTATAGTTCTGTAGTTATAGGTTATCACGTCCATAATTACGTAACGACAGAACGATGGATTAGGCTGGAATTTATGTCGTATCTGCGCACCTATCTGCGTGTAGTTGTCACGTTTCGATGCGCAGGTGGCTGCAGAAATAGGTCATGATAGCTCACACACCGAGTCGGAAATCGAAAGATAAAGACACGAAGATTTAGCTAGTTCTAGACTTCACCTAAAAACGCACAGTCGCGACACATTTCATTCGAGTTTTTCCGCCATTAGTTTTTCAGTTAATTAGTATTTCTATGTTGAAGTTAAATATAACAGTAAGTTCGTGAACTCTCTATGGTTAGTCATAAAGAATGCTGGTGTGATTGACCGACCAACTTGCTCTGTCAATGTATTTTGCTGTATGTTTGCAATGTTTTAAATAATGCATCGATTGTGCAAGATTTTTTGTATTGGACGATCGTATGGCAGTATATATATATATGTGCTTCGTTGCAGATTGCGTAGGTTTGTTCATGCTGGAAGGCCGTGGACCTGTCACCGGCATAGCTGCCTATCCGGATTACAGGTGCTGTCAAAATACCTATACTCTAAACATTTTACCATTTTTTTGCAACTAAAAAGTAATTAAATACCCTCCTGTTCACCTACCTGCCCATTTTGTTCAGCAAATTGTTGTCATCATTGTTTATCTAGTAACAGCTCTAATACGTCGTGAAGTAGGAGATATGGGCTCTTCGTGGCATACCTCTAAATTTGGTGGTACACTTTTCAAGAATAAATATATTTTGTTTGCAGAAATTATTTTTCGTTATGTTCAAGGCTGAGGCAGTGACAGTACAAGTGCTACTATGAACTCTATAGATAATATATGTACATGTTTGTGGTTCTGTCTTATATCTTGTATCCCTCCAATTTTTTGTCGTTTTGAATTTGTGCCATCATTGTTATTTATAATTACCCAACCAGTAGATCAAGAGGAATTGTTTCATGTGCACACGTGTGAGATTCAAATAGAAAGGTCTCTCTCTAGGTGCAGAAGAGTACAAAACTATGAGAAAATTTGAGTTCAGAGTTAGGATATTTACGTGCTGTGTCAGCCAGTATTTATATGAAATGTGCAGCTACTGCACAATCTTTAGCATCGTACTGATGTTTTCATTCAGTCAATACTACCAGAAATTATTTCAGCCGATTACTTACTATCAATTTATGTAATAAACGGCGTTTTCTAGCATCCTGGCATCGACATTCAACCAAGGAATTCACCTCTTGTCGTTGGACTACACTAACCCACACTACCCACAGCTCAAGCGAAAACTGCAATTCTAGATCTTGGCTTAAAGTTGACATGCCGCTACGTTTATCATGTCACTGGTCACTCGGGACGGTCTTCTCGTAGGCACGAGGTAATACTGATATATGAACATTATTATTCGACTTGAAAAAAAAAGTCAAAACGAGCGAATTTCGTGTTAATATGTCACTGTAATAAAAATCGACGTTGTGAGAGATGGTCAGGTGCAGGTATCTTGGTTTACGATGTCGTTATGGTGATGCTGACACTGCTGTTGTTGGTAATGGAGATTAACTGATGTTTGATATATGTTGATTCGGTTATATGAAGAAGCTGTGATGCACGCACGTACATTTATGGCCATCAGTATAACGTCATGACAACCGATTGCATGCTACGCAGCCAAAATAACGAATAGTAAAAACGTTTCTTCTGAGTAAATTAATAACTACTATTGTAAAAACCTACAGTGTCAGGGTACTTTATTTCTTTGGTGGAAAAAAAGTTTTCCGGGGGAAGTTATAATATCTAAGTCATTGCATAGCTGCAGACACAATTATGCGATGATATTTAGTAGTTAGTTTTGAATCGGACTGATGTGCAATTAAAGCATTGATATTTTTATAGTCCACAAACGTCCTTTGTATTGCTGCTGCACACGCTCACTGCTTTTAGGTAATTAATCTATGTCCGTTCCTCTGTGTATCTTCACTTATATCGGCGGATGTACTTTACACCCGAACTTCGCTAATGGCAGAAACATTGTAACGATAAATAAGAAGAGTGACTATTCTATTCACCTTAATATGTCTGTTCGCCTTATCTGGGAAGATTACTCATGTCGGGTACTTGTACACCTGCAGAGCGTTACCGTAATATTCTCATAATGTAATTAAAGGGGGGGGGGGAAGATGCAGAGAAAGGATAGAATTAGTTAGGATGGAGGATAGTTATATTCTCCTAATGCATTAGTGATATTGGGAAA